ACCACTACCACCACTATCACCACTACCACTACCACTACCACTACCACTACCACTACCACTACCATTACCACTACTACCAGTACTACTACCACTACTACTACCACTACTACTACTACTACTACTACTACCACCACTACTACTACTACTGCTGGTTGACCTGTTGACAGACAACATTATGGCGCAGTTATCAGAATCTTATTTTGAATACATAGGTGTTTTTACGAGCCCTCCAACACAGGTAAGACTATTTTGGAGGTGGGCTCCGACCCTACTTGTCAGGGTTTGCCAGAGTAGGAGGGATACAATATCCCAACAAACAAGAGATCTTAGATACTTGATAAAAATTTTCCCCTACACGGGAATCAAACTCGGGTCTTCTGCATGTGATGGCAAAACGCCAAACCGTTAAACCAGGGATAATGGTGCATTCTCTGTAAACGAGTTAGTTAAAATGGTTAAGTTTTAAAACTTACCACCGTATGGAAGCATGACCCAGTAATTCATACCCCCCCCCAACCGCCCCTCCCACCTTCGAGAATCGAACTTGGGTCTTCAACGAACGACAACAAAACGCCTAACAGTTACAACCCAGGCAGACAGTTATTATCACCCCCTGACACTCTTAGAAATGTTCTCAAAAACAAGACAGCAATATATAATTCATAGACTGAAAACTTCATAGCGTGACCAGCGACATAACAGACACTGAAAAGTCTACATGACTTTGATGTAAGCCGTTGGTTACAACACATGGTGTACTGCACATTCTGAATTCCCTTTCGGACGAGTGGACCACGATGGTTTCATAACCCCCCCCCAAAAAAACAACAACAACAACAAAACAACAACAACAACCAAACCAAACAAAACAACAACAACAAACAAACAAACAAACACAAAACAAAAAAAAGTGGCCAAGGGCCCAGTTTCTCACTTCCGGTCACTCTTAGAACCACTGTCAAAACAATACAACAATGCAATATTCTTCCTTCAATGAACTTCCTTCACTAACTGCCCAGCTAGACGTGGAACATAAAGGACGGTGAAATTTATACATGTCTTTTGTGTAAGCCGGTGGTTGACTACACATGGCGCATTAATTTAAAATTCCCTTTCAAGCGAGCGGACGTCGCTGATTAAAAAAAAAAAGAAAAGGAAAAAGCGACTAATCACCTCAGGTTCTCATCTCGAGTTACTCTCGAACCACTGTCAAACCGAGACAACAATGCCATTCACAGATTCAAAACGTAGTTCAATACCCGACGAGCCAGCCGGGGTATATAAAGGGCTTAAGACACTCTGTCTTTGATGTAAGCCGCTGGTTGTCAACTTGAAGCACACTGTTTAGAACTCCCCTTTTAATGTAGGGGTATTGACGCCCCCATCGAAATAAATAAGATAATTTAGGAGGTGGGCTTAGACTCAGATTGAGAGAGTTCACCATCCCAGCAGAAAGAAACTCGATAAAGATTCACCCAATCTAGGTTTCGAAATTGAGTACTTAGCGTGCGGCGGCGAAGCTCTTAACTACCACTTACGTCAGTATTCACTAGTAAAGACCGGGGGAAGGGGGCGAACAACAACCCCGCCCCAAGCCCCCCTCCCTCCAACCACCCCATTAACACAACAACTGCAACAACAACAACAACAGCAACAAATAATTGTATCGTATTGGCCCACCAATCCCCACACACACACACCAAAAATCGTGCAGGGAGGAGGTGGAGCACCTAACCGCTACAATACAAACACCAGCATTCACTAGAAAAAGA